AGTTCAGTGATGTGCCCATTGTCACACAGCTCAATGTCAGAGGTGGGATTTGCACCCAGGTCTTCCTGATTTGAACTCTAATCTCCATCTTCTATCTCATCCTGCTTTTCCATCACCATTATCATCAACAGAAATTTCAAAGGAGCCATGATCTTATCAATGTGGATACATATCCATACCTCATGCTGTGCTATGATTTTTGTTTATGGCCTTCTATTATAGAAAAATAAATAACTTACCCTCACAGAGCACTTTAAGATTTCCAAAGCACGTTTCCCACAACCCTCTGAGGCAGGTAGCATCAGTAGTGTTATCCACATTTTACAGATGAGGATTGAGATACAGACAAGTCACATATCAAATAAGTTATCAGAGGTGATATTAGAACTCTCAATTCACTTTCTACCATATTACAGTTCTTTGAAACAATTTAAGTACAATTTATATTCTCAGTTATTCACAAAGCAATTGACCAGAGCTGAATTCGTATAAATATGAATGGTAACTGTAATGTAATTTAGTATAATTTCCCAAGAACAGCCTTCTTAAAAAGGAAAAAAAATCAATCTTCCTAGGCATATAATATCACTTATAAAATATGGCACAGGTCGATTTACTCTTTTCTGTTGAATTTTTTTTTTAATTTTGTTCCCAATTATAGGTTGATCATTACATGTGTAAACAACAACACTAATAGACTGGAATACACACACATACTTCCATTTTAGAATTGGTGGAAAAAAAGTGGTCTTTTTCTGATCATCTTAACATCTTTAGCTATTTTACCTTCAAATAAGGTTGTTGTGATTATACATTAGAAAATACCACATTAGAATTATGTTATCACTTACATTTTGTTTTAAAATTATATTGTTGCCCTTTGTTTCTATATTACTTCATTTCCAAATATATACCTTCCCTCTACTCCATTCAGAGTCATCCTTTGTAACAAATAATAATAAAGAAAAAAAGAAGGAATGGAGGAGTAGTTCAATAAAATTAACCAGTACATCCATTAACTCTGACGGCACATATAATATGGCATACCCCTAGGCTGCCTCCTTCAAAATCACCACCAATGCAAAGAAGACAGGAGATAAATTTCCTCCTTCTTTGGGTTCAAGTTTGATCATGACAATTACAGTGTTCAATTTCATGTTGTTGTTTCTATTGGTATTGTTGTTTGTGTCTATTACTTTCCTGGTTCTACTAATTTCACTCTGTATCAGTTCATATATATCTTCCCATGTTTCTCTGGATTCTTTATATTCATTATTTTTACACTTATATTCACGTATCATTTTTTTAAAAAATTAGCCAATCCCCAGCATACATATGTTTTTGTTTCTAGTCCCTTGCTACCACAGGGAGAAAAAAAAAAAGAATATTACAAATATTTTGACGTAATCAGGACCTTTTTTTTCTTCTTTCTTCTTTGTCCTCCTTGGGGTGCGTACCTAGTAGTGATATCGGTAGGTCAAACAGTGTAGGCATTTTACTTACCTTCTTAGTATAATTCTAAATTGCTTTCTAAAATGATTGGACCAAGAATCATATGGTCTGAACTTCCTTGTTATGAAGGGCTTCATTTGGATCTTAGACACACTCAAATGAACCTGCAATCTCATTAATGTGGGATTCCTTACAATGATACAGATACTGTACCATCCATATCTGTTCATCCCGTCTTACTCTTCTCTATGGTTACTTATACGTTAAGCACAGTAAACCCATTCAATGTTCTGGGGGCCTTCTTCACTTTCTCTTAGTATTTTAAAGATACTAATGGAACATACAAACTCCATCCATTAGCCTTCACTCTTACCATGTGGTTAGTTCTTGCTCATACATTTCTTTATTAGGACATTTTTTACTCGACTTCTTCATAAATCCTAGTTTGTAATGTGTTATATCCTGCTTACACTTGGCATGCATCTCTCCATTGCCCTTTGAGTAATATTCATCTTACCTTCTGCAGAGATTTTGATGTGAGATGACTTTCAGCCACATGCAATACTGGTAAAATATTGCTGTTTTTAAAATGCACCTTTGTTTCATGGAGAAGTTTGGGGTTATTAAATAAACAGTTGTTATTCCTTTATGTCCAAGTTTTTGTGATCCCGTTTAGGATTTTCTTGGTAGAGATACTGGATTGATTTACCATTTCCGTTTCCAATTCATTTTATAAATAAAGAAACTGAGGCAAATGGGTCTAAGTGACTTGCCCAGACTCACACAGGTAGTAAGTATCTGATTTGAACTCAGAAAGGAGTCTTCCTGACTCTAGGTCTAGCACTCACTCCTGTGCCACCCAACTGCCCACATTAGAAGAACTAATCAGCTTCAAAAGGTGATCTAACTTATTCTGATTCTCCCTTTTCAATTCTGGGACTGACTCATTGTCAATTTGTACTATTTGTTCAAGATGTCTTACTTTCTATCTTACCAGTGTACATTAAGCACCATGGGACCTTTCTTTTTAATTTACAGTTGAAATTTCCTAAATGTGTTTTTTCCTGCATCAGAAAGGAAGCTTTCTGAGATCAGGAAACATCTTTGCTTTTCACACCTTCAGTTCTTAGTAGAGTACTTTGCATATAGTAAGCACTTGATTTTTTAAAATTCTCTCCTGTATAGAGAAAAGCAGCATGGAGTAGTTGACAGAAAGCTGGCCTTGGAGTCAAAAAGACCTGAGTTCAAATACTACCTCAGACATTTCCTTGCTATGTGACCCTATGCAAATAACTTAAGCTCCAAAGCCTCACTTTCTTCATCTGTAAAATTGAGTTAATAGTAGCACCCACCTCCCAGGATTATTGTAAGAATCAAATGAGAGATAATAATTGTAAAGTGCTTTGCAAATCTCAAAGTGCTGTATAAATGCTAGCTATTATTATTGTTGTTACTGTTGCTGCCATTGTTATTATTTCCATTAAAATTCAGAGGAAGGTGTTATTACCCTGCTAATTCTAGAAGGCCCTGTGGCAGAAGTAGGACATGAGCCAGGGGTTTGGGGAGGAAAATGTCTTAGGTAAGGACATTAGGAAGAGAGTAGAAATTGCAGACAAGGGTAATGAAGCATGCTTCAATCTGCATTCAGAACTCACCAGTTCTCTCTCTGGAGGTAGATAGCATTTTTCATCATGGGTCCTCTGGCATTGTCTTAGATCATTGTCTTGATCAGAGTAGCTAAGTCTTTCATAGTTGAGCATCCTAAAAATATAGCTGTTACTGTGTACAGTGATCTCCTGGTTCTGCTCACTTCACTTTGTATCAGTTCATATAAGTCTTCCCAGGTTTTTCTGAAACCATCCTGCTCATCATTTCTTATACCACAATAGCATTCTATCACAATTATGTACCACAACTTGTTCAGCCATTCCCCAATTGATGGGCATCCCCTCAATTTCCAATTCTTTGCCACTACAAAAAGAACTGCTATAAATATTTTTGTACAAATGGGTCCTTTCCTCTGGCATTGCTAGGTAGAAGGGTATGCACAGTTTTATAGCTCTTTGGGCATAGTTCTAAATCGCTCTACAGAATGGCTGGACTAGTTCACAAGTCCACCAACAGTGCATTAGTGTCCCAATTTTTCCATATCCCCTCCACCATTTGTGATTTTCCTTTTCTGTCATGTTACACAATCTAATATGTGTTAGGTGGTATCTCAGTTATTTTAATTAGTATTTCTCGAATCCATAGTGATTTAGAAAATTTTTTCCATGTGACTATTGATAGCTTTGATTTCTTCTGAAAAATGTCTATCTGTTCATATCCTTTGACCATTTATTAACTGGGGAATGGCTCTTATTTTTATAAATTTGGCTCAGTTTCTAGGAATACAATTAATTTTTTTAAAAGACAGTCCCTGCCCACAATCTAATGGGGGAGGAGGGGGGAGACAACACACAAAAAGAGGCAGAAAAGTGGAGGGTTGGGAGAAGGATAGTGAATGGGACACCAGAGAATGCCCAGTTCAAGGGCATCTTATTCTATGGAGTTGAAAAAACATGCAGGGCAGCAGATGTGGAATGGAGCAAGCCCCAAACTCCAGTTTCTGCTCTAAATAAAGGAAGTCATGAGGAGGAGTTAGTCACTCCACCTTCTCACCCTCCAGTCAGAGGAGAGAGGGGGCTGAGGGAGGTGGTATCAGTCAAGGCTTGAGTTAGCAGCCTGATGATGAGATTAGAAATGAGGTGTTTAACCTTGGAAGGCCATCTTGCATAGTGGAGCTGAAAAAACCAAGCAGGGCAGCAGATGCAAAGTGGAGAATAGGGTGCTAACAATGGACATGAAGAAGGGGCATTTGTAGGATATATGGCAGTGGAAGAATTTCCAAAAACTTGATGATTGACTGGGTGTTATGGAAGAGAGAGGACAGGTAAGGATGAATCTGGGGTTTTAAACATGGGATGGGGAGAGCAGATAAGGAGATGGTTTGAGGAGGAGGGATGATAGGTAAATAAGACACTATGTATTAGATTTACATATATTAAGAAAAAAATAAAAACCTTTATGAGCATAAAAAGAGCCTGAAATGGAATAATTATACTGCTTCAAATGAAAAAATGAATTTCTATTTAGGCAGTATCAAAGTATCAAGTAATCAAGTATTGGTACATTAAAGATAGATATGAAATATTGAAATATGTAATTATCTAATTGTTTCAGGAAATTTTAAGAAAATCAGATTCTGGAAGGAGGATGTCACGGGATATAACTATATTCAAACAAGATTTTAAAAGTTTTGGTTTGTGTTTTTGTCAAGTGTTATTAATGATTATAAAAAGGCATAATATCTAATTGTATATATGTATACATATACATATATATGATTTTTTTAAATGTTAGGTCTTGTTCTGCTTTGAGCATTTTAGCATAGTTAGCCATTTAGCTATATACATTTTTCCTATGTAATATTGTATTGATAAACTCATTCATTTATTTAAAATAATTGACTTTCTCTAGACAAAATAAAGTGTTGTGCTACATTACAGCCTCACTGTTAGGAATGAAGATAGAGGTGACAATGCGGGAAGGCCAACACATACAACAAAAATGGAAAGCATCCAGGCAGTAGAAGAATGGTAAGTTTAGATGCTATATTGATAATTATATCTTGCATTTATATGGCATCTGTACTGAGTGACTATTAGGTTTTTCACTTTTTGTTTTTTTTCAGACTCTAACATATACACCAAACACCTTCATAGCTTGGGTTACAGCCAAATGTATTCAACCAGATTTTTCCCCTGCAGTGTGCTTTTTTCATCAGATATTTCTAAAGATACAATTATGTTATTATAAGTGGTGCTAGAGGGGGCAGCTAGGTGGCGCCGGCCCTGAAGTCGGGAGGACCTCAGTTCAAATCCGACCTCAGACCAAACACTTGTCACTTACTAGCTGTGTGACCCTGAGCAAGTCACTTATCCCCAATTGCCTAAAAACTTAAAAAAAAAAACCTGGAAAAAAAATGGTGCTAGAAAGTTACCCAATTCCATAGCCTGTTAGCCCCATCTCTCTGAATAATGCAAAACCAAGATAATTACCTGAGTTATCCATAAAATTACCCTAATTCATCACTTCTCATTTCTGAGGTTACCTTTATTGTTCTTATTTGTAATGGAAACTGAAACATGAGGAAAATCAGTTTCTCATGTTTTAGTCTCCATTACAAATAGGAATAATAAAGAAAACCCCAGAAAGAGCCAAACTGACTCATGCTAGTTATAGTTTGTATTTATGTGTAAGGGTCAAAACCACACACACAAACACACACACATACAGAGATACGTTATACATCAATATCTATATACAAATACAGATGGCAACTAGATGGTGCAGTGGATAGAATGCCAGCCCTGGAGTCAGGAAGACTCCTTACTGAGTTCAGATCTGATCTCAGATACTTATTAGCTGTGTGACCCTGGGCAAGTCACTTAACTTTATTTGCCTCAGTTTCCTCATCTCTAAAAAGAGCCAGAGAAGGAAAGGCAAACCACTCCAGTATCTTTGCTAAGAAGACCCCAAAAAGGGTCATGAACTCAGATACAACTGAAAATCAACTGAACAACAACTAAAATATATACATAGAAACATAATATATCTATAGACATGGATGTGTAATATGCACATACATATAATATTTTATGGTTTGCCAAGTAGCTTAAATACATTATCTCACTTAATCTTCACTATAACAGTGAGATCAGTAGTGTGAGTATTAATCCAGTTTTACAGATGAGGAAACAAAGATCCAAAGGGTGAAGTCTTCCCAAAGTCACACAGATAGTATACAGCAAAGCTGGTACTCAGACCTAGGACTTCTCACTTGAAATCCAGGACTACTTTCCCAATACTTCAGCTATCAGTTGTCTCTCCACTAGATCATACTTTAGCAAAAATGTTAGGTCTAAAATGAATCAAAAGATCTAATTTGAGATCTAGCAAAGGAAAGGAAAACTGCATATAAGTAAATTCTCTGTATAATGATAAACGGTACAATCTTCACTACTTCTTATGGAGAAGTTTTAATAATGGTACTTGATAATAATTTTCTTGCTCACATATCTTTTAAAGTGAGTAAAACAGGAAGTTTGGGCATAAGAGAATAGTAACAAGGTTATTTAAAACACATAATAGAAAGGATATAATAGAAGTTATCTTTCTTATGAATAATTCCTTGACCAATATAATTTAAAACAGCAAGATGTTATACAAATCATTTAAATTGAAAGTAAACTCAGGTAAGTTTTACCTTGTAGAATCTTCAGAGGAAAAGTTAGTAGAGAGAAGATAACATATAAAAGAATAGTACCAGAACCAGTGATTTTTACAGATCCTGGCTGCTCAGACAAGTCTGTTCTGATAAAGTTGGTAAATTCCTACATTCACCCCTTTTGTCTTCTCAACCTGCCAATGTATTCAGAATTTTTCTTTTTTTTTTTTTCAGGATTTTTATAAAGCCTATATGCATATTCAAATTGCAATAATTTGGACTGTAGCTCTTTTAGAAATAATCTGTAAAGAATATTTGAAAGCAAATTAATTAAAGTTAAGAACAGCAACATCACACAATTATACTGTGCATTTTTATTTCAGAGCCTGTGATCAGTACCATTGATAAGAAGATAAACTCTATCTTGGGGCAAAGAGAATTGAAATCTATATGAGCTATAAGAAGAAAATTCAATTGACCCTTAAGTGTGTTTGGCTCATGATTCTTACCATACCTACAACCTGAGTTATTAGCTTTCAAAAGTTTTTAAATCGAACAAGGATTTTCTGAAGACTGTATTGGTTGTACCTTCTTGTTTGTTAAACGTTGAGCTTCCTTCCACACAGACTGTCTCCCTGTGAATGTTTGACTAAGTCAGAAGCAGAATCACAACTACCTCATACATAAATCAGTGGCAAGGGAGTAGTGTGCAGCATTTACCAAGAAACAGCACACAATTTATATACTAATTTCTGTCTAAGACTTTCTTTTTGGATTGAATCAGTAAAGAGGAAGGAAAGGAGTAGGGCGCTCCAAATGTACCATTACTGGTCAGCTGTGCAGGTCAGCATCAAGCCAGTCAATAACGGTATAACAACCCTCCGAAACCTTGAATACTGGCAGCATAGCCAGCCAGTAACATTGGGGGGAAAAGATGCAAAAACAGCATCCTTCCTTCTGAATTTTTCTGAGACGCATCATGATTTCTGAAGAGCCTCTAGTGCAAAATTCCTACATGCAACCCTAGTTAGAACCTAGCTGATCTATTCCTGATATTTATTTGTGAGATCAGTGCAGGGATGAATGGGTAAGAAGTCAGGTGTGATGTGTGAAGTATTTTTATTCAGTTTTATGCTTAAGCTGCTTTTGCATTCCACATTTCTTAATTCTTGATTCTTATTGAAACACTAAATACTGTAAAGATAGCCATTAAAAAGAGAGATAAGCTACCACAAAATAAGTAATCCATGTTCTTTTGAATAATCGTTATGTGTTTCCTAATATAAGGAGCATTCTCTTGGCACAGCTTTACCCACAGACTTGCAGAATAAATTTCTGAGCTATAATGAATTAAAGAGACCACTTTATCAATGTGGAAACTGGTCTGAGAAGTAAAATGATTTGGCCAAGGTTCATAGAGCTCATCCCAGGCTGACCTGAATAGCCTGGTATTAGCTTACATCACAGCAGAACTTAGGCATTAAGGTTTCTCTCTACTAGCCTCCTCACCATTAAAACCCACCTACTAATTGTCATGTTGGAAAAGAACTGATAAGTTACTTTATACTAAAAAATAAATGACTGACACTAGATCGATGTATTAAATGTCCATGGAGTAATGACATTTTCATAGGGAACAATCTTCTAAGTTAATGTTAAGCTTGAAGACTTGAATTTCTTACAGTGGCATTTCTAATATTAGTTATAGGGCATATGGAGGGGGGTAGGGTGAAGGATGGTGTTTTCTTGGAGTCCCTCAAATGATACTCATGGGTATACATTGCATATTAGGGTGCACATCTAAGGAATTTTGTTTTTATTTACTTTAAGGCAAACATTTCCTGAATATTCATTCCTACTAAAGAAATTAAATTTAACTAAACTTAAGAACAATACACATGGAAACAAGAATCCATACCTTAAAACTAAAAGAACATTCTCAAGAAATTAAATTAAAATGCAAATCTACGTTAAAAAACTTAACATGTACCCAGGCACACATGGAACATCCATATATTCATGTCTGTGATGATACTATTAATAATTAATGGTAGTATTAAATCATACTACATATGCCGTCTACTCCACTGAGGCATGATGCCAACCTAGGACCTATAGTGACTGAACATGCTAGTTCTGAAGTCATTTCAGGGATCTCAGGAAGCACTAACTTCACAAAACTTTTTTTCATCTTCCTATTGTAATGGCCCTATTCTTTTTTCTATAGCCAAAATCCCACCCCAGATGAAATTATGTCCTGGTCTCAAAATTTTGACAAGATGATGAAGACGCCAGCGGGGAGAAATCTCTTCAGGGAATTTCTTCGAACAGAATACAGTGAAGAGAACCTACTTTTCTGGCTTGCATGTGAAGACCTAAAAAAGGAGCAGAACAAGAAAGTTGTTGAAGAAAAAGCCAGGCTTATATATGAAGATTATATTTCTATACTGTCACCCAAAGAGGTAAAAATCTGGGAAAACACGCAGTCATGCTTCTTGTCATCAACGGGATCTAACCTGGGACTGATTCTCATTAGGTACAGGTTACACGTGGCCCAGATAAGTTGGAGAGCTTCATTTGGTTGGGGGTTAGGTAGCTTTGGCTCTGAAAATAACCCACTCACTTATTCATTCATCTTTCATTGTATTAAGTAGACATTTATTAAGTATTAGCTGCATGCAGATCACTGCCCTAGGCAATGGAAGAAGGAGATAAAAGAGATAAATATGGTTCTTTTCCTCTTTATATGGGACAGGCAAGTTTCAGTGAAGAAAGGATGATAAACCCAGGATGGCCAAATTCAGGTAGAAGCTAACTGGCAAATCTGGATTCAGCTAGTGGGCATGCCTATGATGAATTGTAGGAAATTAACTGAAAGGAAGTGAAGGAGTGCAGAAAAAAGAGGTGAAAAGGCATGCAAAAGACTTACTCTGCTTTATAATTATGCTTGGATAGTGCTGTTCATACTATGTGGATATTGGTGTCTCTCTGGTTTAGCACAAAGTCCTTTGTTCCTTACCCTGAATCTCATTTACTGCTGAGGGCGATAGGTTTTGACCTAATTTTTAGTTAGCAAGAATTCACTCACTAACACATAATCCACAAATATTTTAAAAAACACTTCCGTTGATGTTGAGTTACTTCAATATTGCAAAAAACAAAAAAACTGTGATCTCAACAGTAGTATTGGTACCCCTCTCCGCAAATGAAGTTCAGAGCCCCTTTATGCCTTGGTAGTCAGGTTTATGAGTGGCTGTGGCCAAAAAAATTCATCATATAATATTTGGACTTACAGTGATAAACCACTCCAAACTTAGCAGGATAGTCCTCTCAACAAGAGTCAATTGCTGGGCTAGTGTCCAAAGCCTTTCTTGCTTGGTAAAGCTTGCCAGAGCCGGTGCTCTGTTGACAAAACCTTTGAGAACCCAAGGTCATTCCCACAACACAATGAGGAATGGCACTTTAAGGATTATGAGTCTCTGTTTTAAATTTACAGTTTCTGACATTATTGAAAAGGAACATTTTACAATAGGATATAGTACTATAAGAGAAAAAAAGTACTGGACTAGGAATCCTGAGTCCTGGTTTCTAGTTTTGGCGTTGCCAACTGCATGACCATGGATAGGCTGCTGAACCTTTCAGGGCCTCGAATTCCTTAACTATAAAATAAGGGTGTTAGACTGAAGAATTTTCAATATTCCTTCCATCTCTGATTCAATAACTAAGACTGCAAGCACTCAGAATTTTACAAAAAACACAGCTGAGTAGTCCATTAAAGGATGATAACCAGGAAGCTTCAGAATGTTATGATCTTGGTCATGACTACTAAAATTGCATTTTGTTTTTTCTTGGCTTTCAGTTTAAATTTATTGCATTTTAATAATTATGTAGAAAATATGGACAACTTAAATTGTATATGCCCATGTGGCTCTTTTTTCATAGGTACAGTACTTAAGCTGACATGACACAGGGTTTTCTTTCACCTTTGTTATAAAATCAACTCAGTTGGTACCCAGGAGATATTATATTGTCTTTTCTTGTGTGATAAAATATATTAAAGAGAAAAGAAGATAAAAAATTTAAGTAAAAAGTTGCTAACAAGTTAAATAATAAAATAGGATTACTTCCAAGAGTAAATTAACACTTTCTAAGATTGCCTAAAGGGAAAAGCAAATTAAAATAATAAAGAAGAATTTACAAATAATAGGAACATTCATTAGCAGATAGAACAGATCCTAGTGTCAACTTGTGTCTATTAAGCACTGGAAATTTAGGTCCAATAAAATGAAATATAGCAATAAAAGGCCTACAAAATGTTTAAAAAAAAAAAAGAAGGAAAGGGGGCAGCTAGGTGGTGCAGTGGATAGAGCACCAGCCCTGAAGTCAGGAGGACCTGAGTTCAAATCCAGCCTCAGACCAAACACCTGACATTTACTAGCTGTGTGACCCTAGGCAAGTCACTTAACCCCCAATTGCCTGAAAAAAAAAGAAGGAAGGCATTAGCAGCTATAAAAAGTAACCAAGATCTTGAAAGAAGTAATTTTTAAATGATTCTCTAAACACAAATCTTACCTAGATAAGAAAGAATTCGGCTTATCTAGTTGTATACACAGGTCTACTCCACGGTGGCATTAGCTGATTTTTAGCAGATCTCTCACTCTCCGTCCGCAATCTTGGATAAGTCACTTCAGCTCTCCAGACTTTTTTTCATCTATAAAATGAGACAGACTAGATCTCTCAGATCCCTTCTACCAGTAATCTTCTCTAGTTCTATTAATTTCTTATCCTTACAGGGCAATGATTACCTCAGATTGTAACCGATATTCCTAATTGCCATTAAACAATAAAAATACTGAGAATTTGAGGACTAATTAAGAATAATTTCAAGGCAATTTCAAAATGTAAAAATTATGCGATTTCATCATCTCCACTAATTGTTAAATTAAACTATTTATTAGCTTCCTCACCTCTAGTCTTCCCCCTCTAAAATTCATCCTCTGTACGGCTGCTAAATTGATAGTCCTAACGTGCTGGTCTGGCCGTATTGCTCTCTTCATCAAGAAGCTTCACTTGGCCCCCTATTGCTTCAAGTCTTTTACAATCTGACTCCAGCCTATCTTTCCAGGTAACTTCTTGGTCTCAGACATTCCATATTCCACTCGCTGTTCCTTTGCATTACATTCCGTCTCCCATCTCTGTGACTTTGTTCGAGCTGCCTCCTACCTCCCCCCCTGAAAAACACTCCCCTTCTACCTCTTGGAATCCCTAGCTCACTTCAAGGCATTGATTACTCCAGTGGGTAGTGACACCCCTATCCATCACTTTGTATTTACTTTGTATATATTTTAATTTACTGATTTGTAGCCATATCATGTCCCCAAAGTTAAACAGAAGATCCTTGGGGGAAGGAACTCTTCTTTTTATATATATATATACATGTATATATATACATATATACATATGTATATATATACATGTATATATATATATACATATATATACATGTATATATATACATATATATATATATATATATATATATATTTGTATCCCAAATTCCTAGTACAATGTGTAACACAAAGTGGATGTTTAATAAATGCTAATCAATTTGATGAGTTCATTTGATCATATCTATTTTCTATTGGGCCATTTGGATAGCTTATAGACTAGTAAGCCATGGGTAGATGAGTAGATAGGATTAATTGAATATTTATTTTCCCTTTTTGATATTTTTGTCATTAACTTCACAGCATAAAAAGCTTCAGAGCAGCTGGACCCAGCAAAACATCATATTTACAATTTTTACAGATAAATAAATTGAAGCTCAGAGACATTAAGAAACCCTCAGAGTTACATAGCTTTAGTAATTGGCAGAGTCAGGAGACTCGACCCCCAGTTCCTCTGACTCTAAATCTAGTTTTCTCCAGTGAGCCTGTGATTCAATCTAATAACAGAGTTCCTGCTGAAGACAAGGATGCCATAATCTGAATCAATCTCCTGTTACTATGGTAGACTTCTCAGGGTTTATATTTGTATCTTGCCTTTGCCGAGTACCCCTGACTAATACAGAAATATTTCTCAAACAAGCAGTAAGCTATTAAGGTATGTATTTATTTAAAAAAAATCGAATGCCTGTAATTTTAAAAAAGTATATTTTAGCCACTAGTTACTAAGTTTGTAATTTTTTTTCAATTTACTGTTGTGCCAAACATTGTTAATCATTAATTTCCTTATGGTTCTTGAGCACAGAAGAATGTGGACATGAGTTACTTTTGTTTCTTGGAATTGAACTATCCTTTTCCTCTGCCTTAAGAAAGCTTATATGGTTTGAATAGTAGTTTGAAACTCATATTTCTATAAGCTAGCAGCTTTAAACTTTTCTACATTTTTTGATTCTTAAGAATCTTTCTTCATAATTAATGAGACTTAAGTCTTCTGTGATAATTAAGATTTCTCTTAAGTTTGAAATTGAGAACTGTTTTGTACCATCTCTGTATGTCTGTATCCTTGTTCACCTAAACATTGGAGTGGATTTAGAAAATCTTCATCTTGCCATAACTCTACAGTTGAAAATAAGCTGAATCAGGTTAAGATCAAAAATTTAAATGTCCACTGAGCAGAAACCCAAAGGATACCTTAAAGAAAAGGGGGGAAAAAGTTAATAAAAAGATACTGACTGTACTGGAGAGTTTATTTAACAAAAGGAGTGTCATACAGCTTTGCAACTGAAAGTGAAGTATATTTATAGTGACTCGTTTCTAGAGTTTTCTTTTTTGGGGGGATTTATAAGAAAGACAAGAATGTAGGATGGCAAAGAGCTATTGGCTACATACCCAAATTACCTTTTAATGAGTGAACCTCAGAATTTTGTTCTGAATCAGTAAGCCCTAGACCAAGAGTGGTTAATTTTCTTCACTCATTCATTCATTTATTTATTTGCATCATGGACCTCTTTGGCAGTCCAGTAAACTCTTTGGAACCTTTCTCAGAATAAATATTTAACTGAATAAAATAAAATACATAGAATTACAAGGAAAACTAAATATGTTGAAATATAATTGTCAAAATATTTTTTGAAACAAGTTCACAAACCCCACATTAAGAACCCTTGCCCTAGAAAATTTCAGCCAGAGTGTATAAATCAATATTGTATCATCTGTAGACATGGGGAAACTGGGATAAATCCTGGGATTATATCACTGTGACCTGAACCAGAGCTGAGGCCTACTCTAGAAGCTTGCTAGGCCCTTTAGGAGGCAAGTGAGAGAAAAGGAAGAAAGTCAGAGCCGATAGGGATTCTCCAAGATACTTTGACCAAAGTGAGTGAACTCTCCGGGCATGGCATAAATTTAAACCCAAATATAGGATTTTGAATAAACAAGATAAGACTTGAACACAATCAACAAATCAAACAACCTTTCAAATCACTAATGCTAGCCCTTGTTTTCCAACGGAATAACAATAACAATTCTCCATAATTTATTACTTCATAACCTGGAAGACCACCGTTCAGGTCCTTGCTGTGATACTTACTAGCTTCTTGACCTTGGACAAATGCTTTAACCTTTGTGAGCCTTTGAGTCCTCCTCTGCAAAACAGAGATCACAGCACTTACACTACATATTTAACTCATATGTTGTACCAAAGTACCTTGTAAAGATAAAAGAACTAACACAAATATGAGTTACTCTGTGAGTTTCTTGAGGAAAGTGACAATCCTTTCCTTTTCTTTGGGTCCCCAATACTTAACACAGTGCCTGTAACATAGTAAAATGTTTAATAAATATTTGGTAATTGGTTGATTGAGTTATTATTTAGGGTTGATTCTGATCATAAATAACAGGATGAAGGTATTACACATCCCTCTCAAGGTAGAATTCAGGTCCTTCTTCCAAATCTTCTACTATGACATGGCTGCAGTTTTTGAGCTGTCCACCTCTTATCCCTTGCTCTCACTACATGAAGAAAACTTTTGAATGGTACCTGATCTGAAGGGCCTTCTTATATATACTTAAGACCTTTCTGTTGCTACTAAAAGAAAAATAAAATTCTACCGTCCTATTGGGAGGCAGGTATATAAATTTGTATTTGACTTCATCCAGTTAACACTGACCTCCTGGTTATTCTTCTAACAAGACACTCCATCTATCTACTCCAGGCATTTTCTCTGGCTGTCCCCCAGAGCTGGAATGTTCTTTTTACTCAACTCCTCCTACTGACTTTCCTGGCTTCTGAAAAGCCCCAGCTAAAATCCCATCTTTTTATAGGAAGCTTTTCTCAACCTTTCTAAATTCTAGTGCCTTCCCTCTATTATTTATTTCCTATGTATCCTATATATGTGTGTGTGTGTGTGTGTGTGTGTGTGTATATATATATGTATATGTATATATATAGTTTGTTGAAGGCAGGTACTCTTTTTGCACCCCCTCCCCTTTTTTTAATAAATCCCCAGTGCTTAGAACAATGCTTGGCTCATGGTAGCCACTGAATAAATGTCGATTGATTGGTAAAGGTGTGAGTCCAAGACCTCAGTAAAGATGTAAGCATCTTATATAAAAGAATGTCTCTTTTTCAGGATCTCTGTTTCACCATTTAGAGAACCCCCCCAGCAGAAAGCCTAATGTTGTTCTGTTTTGTTGTGTCTGGCTCTTTGTGATCCCATTTGGGGTTTTCTCGGCAGAGATCCTGGAGTGGTTTGCCATTTCCTTCTCCAGCTCATTTTACAGATGAAGAAACTGAGGCAAACAGGGGTAAGTGACTTGCCCAGGGTCACAAAGCTAGTAAGAGTCTGAGACCTGATCTGAACTCAGGAAGATGAGTCTTCCTAACTCCAGACCCAGCACTATCAGCCCAGAAAGCCTAAACCAAATGCAAATAGATGGAGATGGATTTGTTTTAGAATCAGGAAATCTTTTACTGTATTGTCAATGTATGAAATGCTTTAAACTTCCTGAGGAAATGTACATGTTTCAATATGTAAATGAATCTGGGATAATAATGGCATAGATCACACCATAGCCGTGCCTTCTCAACCTATGTGATTCTTTTCCATATACTCTCATAAATCCTCCATAAGAAGCCACTTGACTTGCTCAGGTCCTTCTTCCAAATCTTCTACGATGACGTGTGCAGTTTTTGAGCTGTCCACCCATTATCCTTTGCTCTCACTCCATAAACTGCCTCTTCTTCTCATTATGAGAGAAGTCAAATTATATACAACTTACATTTTTTTTTATCTTTCCCTCCAAATTGACCCTTGTTTTTGTTGAGGGCACCACCATCCTTCCAGTCACCCAATGGTATCCTTCTACCTCAGCCCATATAGCCAATCTTTTACCGAATCTTATCAATTTTATGCGGCAACCATATAAGTTCAGATCTTCATCACCTCCAACATGGGCAATTCCAATAGCCTTTTATTTGATCTTCTTGCTTCAACTCTTTCTCCTTCTTCCCATTCTTGACACATCTGCCAAGGTGATTTTCTTAAAATGTAGATCTAACCATGATATTACCCTACTCAATAAAGTCCATTGGTTCCCTGTTGCCTCTAGGACCAAATATAAGATCCACTTTTAAAGTCCCTCAACAACATGGTCCTAACCTACCTTTCCAACTTCATTATACACTCCTCCCTTTCCTGAATTTTAAAGTCCAGTTGAACTAGACTTTTTGCTGTTATTCACACAAGACAGCCATCTCTCATTTCCAAGCCTTTGCACTAGCTGTCCCCCATGCCTGAATTACACCTTCCATTTCATATGTCTCTTATAATCTTTTGTTTTCTTCAAAACTCTTGCTCAGGCAACACTTTCTACATGAAGCCTTTCTTGATATCCCTGGTTGCTAGTGCCCCCCTTCACCATAAATTTACCTTTTATATATGTTATACGCTTCACATACACTTATTTACACACATATTTCCCTCAATGGAATGTAAGATCTTTGAAGGCAGACAGAGACTGTTTCAATTTTTGTAATTTTACCCCTAATACACAGTATAGTATTTGGCCGTTAATATGTGTTGACTAGCAGCAGTTAGGTGGCACAGTGAGTATCAGCTCTTGAGTCAGGAGGCCCTGAGTTCAAATCTGGTCTCAGATACTTGCTGTGCGACCCTGAGCAAGTCACTTAATCTGGATTACCTCTGAAAAAATAAGATAAATGTGTTGCCTGACTGATATACTGAAATATCTGATGAGTTAATTTTTCTAATTTTTATTTAACTTCTTAAACTTGGTTTTTCAAGGAAAAAATAAACATTTCAACATTCATGGTATTAACTCAACAAAGATTTACTAAGTGCATACTATTTGTAAGGCTTTGTGATAGATATCCAAGATAGATGTCCAGAGTTCTGGAGTTGTTAGGAACACTTGAATTCAAACCGTGCCTCGGACCTTTACTGATTGTGTGACCCTGGGCAAGTTACTTATCCTCTCAGTCTGCCTACCTTATAGGGTTATTGTGAGGATCAAATGAGCAAATGCATGTAAAGCACTTTGTAAACCTTAAAGCACTATATGAATGCTAGCTGTTATTATCCTGTTCTCAAAAAGACAGAGAGCATATGTATATGAACTGTCATACACAGAATAGTGAGACAAGTGCAAAGGAGAGGACCAGGCAAAGTGCAGAAGCCCACTTGACCTGCCAGAGAGGTTGTTAGTTAAGGCAGCATAGAAAATGAAGTTCCATCTAAGTTGGAATCTGAAGAAAGGGAAGAATATCAACAGGTAGAGAACTGAGAAGAGGCAAGTGACAGTGATGGGGGTAGCACTTTTAAAAGTTAATTATCAAGGATTTAAGGCATCAATTTAATCTTAAATGTTTATCTAAATAGCATATCTGTACTAATTTCATTTCATTTCCCCCCCAACAAAAACATCATTTGACATGTCAGTTTCTATTCCTCACAGGTCAGTCTTGATTCTCGAGTGAGAGAGGTGATCAATAGAAATCTCTTGGACCCTAATCCTCACATGTATGAAGATGCCCAACTTCAAATATACACTTTAATGCACAGAGACTCTTTTCCAAGGTTTTTGAACTCTCAGATTTATAAGTCTCTTGTTGAAAGTACTGCTGGCTCTACTTCTGAATCTTAGTTATCATTTTTTTTGGGTGGGTAGGGGTGGGAGGGAATCATTTTGGAGGGCTGGGGTGGGAAATTCAAGTAGTTACGTAACATCAGAAGCTGAGTTCCTGGAGAACTACAGTTTAGCACTACTCAGGCTACTGTGAAAAAAATACA